AATACAAAACAATGATATGGAAAGAAACCTTATAATGATTCACGATAAAGAACTAATAATCTTATTTGAGAATAACTACAACAACGAAAACTCCGGTATTTCTAATTCACAGAAGTCCCTATATTCTGGAGTCTCTACTCCAAAAAAACTGTTGCAAACTGTCGCAACAGCGCTAAAAGAGCAATGCACCATGAACGCATCACAGAGCAACTGTAGTTTCCTCTGGGTTACAAAAGCATCTCTGTTCCTCTAAGTTTGAGGATCTATTTAATGATAAATAAAAACACATTTATAGAAAACAATAAAAGAATCATTTTACCTGAAAGAACCAAACCTCTAGATCTACATGACATAGAATCACTTCAAGCTGGCTGCAAACCGCAGGAACAAAGAACCGGAACCAGAACCGGATTGAAGAAAGAAACGAGGTGTAAACATGGAATCCGGATCGGAGCAGAACCAGCTGCTGAGTTTGGACCCGAACCCAAAGATCTGGATCTGCTAGAAGGTCCAGATCCAAAGGATCAGCAGGATCTATGCAGCGAGGCTCATGCTGATGACGTAGCTGATCCCTACCACGTGACTGACTCCACAAAACGTCACAAATAAACCAGTTAAGGTTTCCTGTAGTTTTTATGGTTTCTATAAACAGCATAAATAATTCAGCAGATAATTAAATTACAGGAAAATAAAGGAACTTTTCCTTTAAATATTTATTGTTTCTCTTCTGTTGTTTATAAAGTGATTTTTTTCATTAAATAAAAAATAAAAAATGTGACTAATTAGAGTATTGTACTTTGGACGATTCACCAGTAGGTGGCGACAAACCTCCACTTTCTGACTGCTTCCTAATTTTTTATTTATTTCATTTATGTTATTTATGAAAAATAAACATTAAAAGCGACTGAAGCTTTTAACAATCTGCAGATAAAATGGAAAAATGATTTAAATTATCCAAAGTTTTTTAGATTATACTGGTAGAAAGATTTAATTCAAAGTTAAATAAACATATTAAATTATTCCAATGATAAATAAAAGTTACCATGAAATACAAAGTTCTAGAAAAATAATTTCTTAGTCTGCTTTGTTTTTGATTAACTTTAAACTGATTCATTTTTATTAAAATATTTATTTAAATACGCATTAAAGCTCATTTAAAGTGATTTTAACGTTAGATTGACGGAGCTCTTTTTTAATCAACTTCAATCTAAAAAAAATGGAATAAGAGATAAAAAAGTTTGCTCCTTTGGTTCATTTGGAGGAATATTTATTATCAAGTTAAGATAAAAGTAATTTTAATGTATTCAGTTTATAAAAACAGATATCGACCCTAAATGTACAAAGTTAGATTCCAGGTGATTTGACTTGTAGTTATAAAAACCGTCCTTATTAATCATATATGAGACTGACTCATCTTTATGTTTATGTTCATACAGACCTCAGTGTTTCACTGCAAAAAAATGATCCTTTAAAAGTCACTTTTCTTAAAATACACGACATAAGAGAATTTAGATAAGAGAATTTAATCATTAAAATGAAAGGTAAATTATATTAACCCATTGC